GAACCCCTGAGAAAAGTCTCATCTTTGAAAAAAACTCTTCATTAAGCTAAATATAAAAAAGTAACATTGTTAAAAGGATAATATCATTTGGGGAAAAAGTCTTCTAGATAAAAGTCATCATTAGGAACAACAAATATGATAGACCCCCCCCCTCCCATGAATGACCAGTAATTTGAAATTAGGATAGAAGGATATGATTTTTTTCCTACTATTTCTGATCTGAGAAGAATCAGTCCATAAAATGGAATCCTGTTAGACAGCGATATATCCCAAATTTTTGTGACTCATTTTTATTTCAGAAACTTCAAACGATGTATTTGTCTCCATATATCTTAGCACTGATAATTTTATGATGGTTGTAATAATAAGCAAATAATTATATATAATAAATATCTTCATTATTGATACACACACACACACAAGGAATGGAGTCATAACTCAGACTATTATTTCCATAAGTCTGTTACGCATGAATTTTCTCATATGGTGCAGAAAATCATGCTTTGGGAAAATTATGAAATACTTACGTTTTGGACACCATTGTAGCTTCACCAAAACACAACATTGTAGGAATTGATGTTATTTGAAGAAATGCCACCCTATTATGATCCTTAAATCAAGGGCAAAGTATTCTCAAGAGCTTGATGCAATAGTTGGGAAAACAACTGAAATAGTATCTTACAGATGAATATACTGCATCATTGTTTTTGTTATCAATACCATACTATTGAACATGAATGGAGTTTCTAATATAGTTTCTAACATAGTTAATACTTTATTTCCACTTCTTGGTTGGCTTTCTTCTGCATTTTTGTCAAGGCAACAAATGTAGAAGCTCCTGTAAATAACCAGTTCTATGAAATTAGGGAGAGAAGCTTACTTTTCCTGTCCTGAAAAGGATTAGTTGTAAGCTCTTAAAATAGAATCTTATTAATTTAATTATAATCCAGATTTTGTGTTGCACTATTTCAGTAATATTTCTGTCTCCCTATACCTAGCATTAATAATTTACCAATACATTAACCGAAACAACCATAAAATTTATTTTTAAGCAACATAATTACAGAAAATGTTGTCTTCAACACAATGAAGATGACTTCTAATTTGACCTTGGAGTGCCTCTAGAGAATGACTATCCATGGAGGCTTATGGCAAGCTGTTCCTGGGACTTCTTTGTCTTGGTGGGTGGCCTGATGTCTAGGAGTCCAATTCATAACTAAGCATTCCTCTCACAGAAAACATATCTATAGTGGGAGACTCTATGTGGTTCTCATTTGGCCTGTATCCACTTGATTCCTACCAAGATGACCAGTGTGTAGAAGAGGCCCTAAATAGGAGGGAAAATCAGTCCTGATTGATCAGAAGTCACAGAAGCAACAGCTCAAAAAGACAAATGAAATAACAGAAGTGAGGTATTACATCTAGACCCCAGAACAAAAAGACAAGCATGCCTCATAGGGGTTGGGGGTGGGAGTGGGGAGTCAGCCAGGACCAAACATTGCAGCTTATTTATTGAAGGTTAAGAAACCAGGGAAGAGCCGGGCACCAGTGGCTCACACCTGTAATCCTAGCTACTCAGGAAGCTGAGATCTGAGGATTGCAATTCAAAGCCAGCCTGAGCAGGAAAGTCTGTGACTCTCGTCTCCAATTAAACCAACAAAATCCAGAATTGGAGCTATGGCTCAAATGGTAGATCACTAGCCTTGAGCAAAACATGCTCAGGAATAGCTATCAGACCCTGAGTTCAAGCCCCAAGGCTGACATAACAAAAAAAAATCAGGGAAAAATGCTGGCATTTGTATTTGAGCTCTAGACTGATTTCTGAAATCTGAAAATTCAGATTTCAGGAGGTAAATCCGGACAAACTCAGAAGTTTCTCAAAGAAAAACAATGCAGCTAAAGCTATTATCTCTGGGTTCCACCAACATTAGGAGCCCAGGAAAGATCAGCCAGGAGAAGCTGGAAGGGAAGTTACTGTCTATTATCAATGGAACAGAAGTTGATGAAGAGCTGATAGTTCTAGTCTGAAAGGTTATGGAAACCTGGCCAAGGTTCAGACAGAATAAAGATGATCCCTGAACCAGACACGAAGTAGCCATTAAACACACAAAAATAAGGCAGAAGTGTGAGTTCAGGCTGTTAATAGTAACTCAACTTATACTTAATTCTAAACCTTTCCAGATGTTTATGAACAAACAAGAAGGGAAACTTTGCTCCCATAGTGATAAGTGAAATACAATAGTCAAGTGGAACTTTATAATTTTATTTCTTGTTGGAGAAGATCATGAACTTCACTCTTTATGTAATATCATATTTACTTTGATAACCATACATATGAACATATAAAGCAGAAAGTATTTCACATCACCAATACATTTGTATTGTTTATACCCCACATAGAGATATCAACACTTAGAATGAGTCTTGCTTTTGATGAGTTGTCAGGTGTTCTGTAGATTTCCATAGATCTCATGCCAGGTTGATCCCCACATTGACTTATTACCTGTCAACTTTACTTATTTGATTTTATGGCACTTCAATTACCCAGTGGCTGCTGCCCACACATCAAAAGAGGAGGAGGAATTTTCCTTTGTGGAGAAAATCATGTTTAATATGTGAATCCATAACCTGTATGCAGAAATCCACCCATGAATTACATTTCAAGTAAAAGAATCATGCAGTCATCAGCTAGATAGATTATACAAGTTTAAAAACTTCTTCAATGCAGGAAACACTTAAATTTAGTATGCTCTAATTTGTCCCTTCCTATTGAGACTCAGGTAGTTTCACTTTAAAAGACATCTTGAGTTCCATTGTTTTGTGAAGTAAATAGGGATGCCTTTTCACCAGAAGTAATTTTTAAATCCACCTCCATCCCCTCAACACAAATATAATACCACTTGGAACAACAAATAACTACTTGTGAGAGAATACATTTTCTGCGGAACAAAGAAAGCTATAGATAATGTTTAGTAGAACATGAAAGAGGCACACAAAGCCTTTTCTAGAAATTGGTAAACATTCTCTACTTTAAGATTGTACTTTGTGACGATATATCTGAAAAGGACTATGAACTATTATTTTCTTAGTCTATAAAGGGAAAGATGGAAAGCAAGACAATGGCATAAGCCAAACCAACAGGCAACCTATAGAAGACAATTCAGATCACAATGAGAACCAACTCACAATGTGACACTGGAGTCAGCTCCTCTGAAAGAAAAAATGGTGATTGAAAAGATGATGTTTTCTCTGTAGGTACTATGTACAGGAAACAATGAAGTATTTAGAATAGATACTAAAATCTATTGGGGGAGGAGGTACAGTTATTTTCAATATAATAAAGCATGACATACAACATGGGGGCCGTAGTTTATTAGGATATATTGTATTCAAGAGTTGGCTTGACACATAGACCTCAGCTGCTCTTGCTATGTAGGGAACAGGCAAATATGTAAGATGAGAGATTAATTTGTTCTGTAGTGGTAGACATTTTGCTGCATAGATGTATCCTGTAATACCATGTTTTATGCCTTGAATACACAATTTTTAACATAAAAGAATCTTTCCTTGTCCTTGAACATTTAAAAACATATTCTCAGATGCGATGTTAGGCGCCCGCTCTGTGCTGCTTCAGAAACTCTCACCTTGCTTGGCTTTTAGGTTTTGACATTATCCAGGCCAAGCGCAGCTGTGGACTCTCTCTCTCAGACACGCGTGCCATCCAGCACAGAGTGGCTTTCCCACAGGGCCTCTTACCCCCTCCCAGGTGACAAAACAGGAAGTTGGCTAGGGACTCCAGGAAAGCCCAGCCATTGGGCCTGGGGAAGCAGATAGGTCATCGTGCTGTCCTTTGGCTATAGGAATTCATCCTCCTTGCTCCCTACAGATGTATTGTTCTGGGAACTTTCATGTATGGAGGGCACTGCACTAAGGAACAAGAACTTACTTGTATAAATATCAAGTGGCAACCACATCTACAATACCCCAACATGTCCCTGTTCCCTTTCTGACTCCCACCTCTCCCACCCGACTTGTTCCCCCACATAGCCCTCCCTAAAAACATTGCTTCCAGCTCTGAGACATAGACTACAAAAAGCTGTTGATGATTGAAATAAGAGGAGCAAAGCAAGAAGCAAGCCTTACACTCTTCAGCTTCAAGGGGATTGATGTCTGCTAGATGTTCAGAATCTACTGCTTCCACTCAAATTCTATTTTGAATCTTATTGCAAGCCTATGGAATAGGTATTACTATTTTCACACAATGGAGTCTCACTAAATTTTACCACACCATAGAGGGGTAGAAATAAGAATGGAATGTAGATCTATTAATTGTGTCTCATAGATTCTCCCACTGTCTTCAAATTATGATGAGAAATAATTCATTACCGAATACAAAACCTTGGAAAGTAAAAAAGATTTCTAGATGTAATGCAGTGGGTTCTGCTTGTAATCCTAACTGCTTGAGAGGTGGGGATTGGAAAGGCTTGGGGTTCAAACTCCACCACAACCAATAGCTGGGTGTGGTGGTTTCTACTTGTCATTTCTCTCTCCATGGGAAGCTTACTTTTAAGCTGTGGTTCAGTCCTGCTCTGTGAGACCTTATTTGAAATATAACTGAAGCAAAAAAAAGCTGGACAGAGCACCTGCTTATCAAGCACAAGGTCCTGAGTTCAAGCCTCAGTACTACCCTCCATCAAAAACAAATCTCAAGAGCTGGGAAGGTGGCTCCATGGTAGAGTGCTTGCCTCACATGCATGAGGCCCTGGGTTCGATTCCTCAGCAACACATAAGCAAAAAAGCAGGAAGTGGTACTGTGGCTCAAGTGGTAGGGCACTAACCTTGAGCTGAAGAGCTCAGGGACAGCACTCAGGCCCAATGTTCAGCCCCCATGACTGACAAAAAAAAAAAAAATCTCAAGGTTCTTCTGCTCTTGGAATCCTTTACCTGTCCTTTCCACTGATTCCCACATTAAACCAAGAATCTTTATTTTCTTCATATAGGGCATGATTGCTTCATAAGACTTGAACTCCGAGGAGGGTGGGTGGGGAGCGCTCTCGCAGAGGGCGCCGTCAGACCCTGCGCCCGCGCTGTCAGCAGCGCTGGGTGGATCCGGCCTGGGCCTGTCCATCTCCAGCCGGGTGGACAAGCCCCCGGAGCCCTTGCACCCTGCCTGCCCGCTCTCAGTGATTATTTATTCAAGTTACTTCTGATTGGCGACTCTGGGGTTGGAAAGTCTTGCCTCCTTCTTAGGTTTGCAGATGATACATATACAGAAAGCTACATCAGCACAATTGGTGTGGATTTCAAAATAAGAACTATAGAGTTAGATGGCAAAACAATCAAGCTACAAATATGGGACACAGCAGGCCAAGAAAGATTTCGAACAATCACTTCCAGCTATTACAGAGGAGCCCATGGCATCATCGTAGTGTATGATGTGACAGATCAGGAGTCATTCAATAATGTCAAACAGTGGCTTCAAGAAATAGATCGTTATGCCAGTGAGAACGTCAACAAGTTGTTGGTAGGGAACAAGTGTGACCTGACCACTAAGAAAGTAGTAGACTACACAACAGCAAAGGAATTTGCTGATTCCCTTGGAATCCCATTTTTGGAAACCAGTGCTAAGAATGCAACGAATGTAGAACAGTCTTTCATGACGATGGCAGCAGAGATTAAAAAGCGAATGGGCCCTGGAGCAACAGCTGGCGGTGCAGAGAAGTCCAATGTTAAAATTCAGAGCACTCCAGTGAAGCAGTCAGGTGGAGGTTGCTGCTAAAATTTGCCTCCATCTTTTTCTCACAGCAATGAATTCACAATCTGAACCCAAGTGAAAAAACAAATTGCCTGAATTGTACTGTATGTAGCTGCACAACAACAGATTCTTACCGTCTCCACAAAGGTCAGAGATTGTAAATGGTCAATACGGACTTTTTTTTTATTCCCTTGACTCAAGACAGCTAACTTCATTTTCAGAACTGTTTTAAACCTTTGTGTGCTGGTTTATAAAATAATGTGTGTAATCCTTGTTGCTTTCCTGATACCAGACTGTTTCCCGTGGTTGGTTAGAATATATTTTGTTTCGATGTTTATATTGGCATGTTTAGATGTCAGGTTTAGTCTTCTGAAGATGAAGTTCAGCCATTTTGTATCAAACAGCACAACCAGTGTCTGTCACTTTCCATGCATAAAGTTTAGTGAGATGTTCTATGTAAGATCTGATTTGCTAGTTCTTCCTTGTAGAGTTATAAATGGAAAGATTACACTATCTGATTAATAGTTTCTTCATACTCTGCATATAATTTGTGGCTGCAGATATTGTAATTTGTTGCACACTATGTAACAAAACAACTGAAGATATGTTTAATAAATATTGTACTTATTGGAAGTATTAAAAAAAAAAGACTTGAACTCCAAGCAATGCAATATTTTAATAAACTACTTTATATAATAATTGGCATAATGAAGTAGATCATATTTTCTGAAAAGACCCCTTTTAAGCATTGGTCTGCACAGATTAATAAAATACCACTATCAAGCAGTAAAAATTAAAAATAGCGATAAGCTATCTAGGCCTTTTTTGCTTTTATTTGATATCTATAAAATGCTAATTTGCCATCTTCATTAAAATCTCAACAATAACTGAGCAGTTAAACTAAGCCTCAGTTTTTCCACTAGCAAAATCGTCTATCCTCATAAATGTTTAGTTATTGGTTTTAAAGTTTGAATTTCTACCAGCTATTTCCTCTGATAGATGGTTAAATTCTATTACCATCAGACACGGACTGTTCTTTCCAATTTGGTTTCCAATCACTTCCCTATTGCTTTTGACATTGAAAAATAATTGCCCTAAAATTAACTGCACTTCAAAACTCTGCAGCAACACATGTCATTTTCTTAGGGCCAAAAATTTTTGCTATGACAATGGCCAGTATTTTAGAGGAATCACATTGGAGTTGAATTTCAGGTTTTTTTTTTTAAGTTTACTTTGTTTACCTTACCTTCAAGTAGGATCAAGGTTTTGAGTTTTATGCAGGTAACTTTTTGCATGCACGTGTATGCCAGACTTCCATGTGCTGAGCACTGTTTGAGGGTAGTGTTGGCACAATACCAGTTTTAGCATTAGACTTGCAGCCTGCACACTCAAAAAGCAGGCTGACTATACTGAGCTTTGCCAATTACCAGGAAATTCAGGTTGTGGAAATACTAGAAACACCACCACGGGCACAAACATCTTGAGCGTAGACATTCAAGTAATTGCCTTTGCTCTGTGTTTTTCAACATAGGTGTTGGTTGTTTCTTAAATATTTCCTTCATCTATTTTTGCTGAAATCAATAAGAAAAATATTTTCAAAAGGATGAAAACTTACTTCAGTGGAAGAAGCAAGCAGAAAATTTCAAGCAACTCAGATGAGAATGAAAAGAGAAAAGAGGATACAAACAACCCAAGAGCAGGCATTTCCCCTTACATGGTATTGGGCTACAAGTAACAGATCATATGCAATAGTAATCCTTTCAACAAAGAAGAGTTTACTTGTTGTACAATGGCATAAGTCTAGTGAAAAGTCTTGCAGGGTTGGTACTGCCTCTGATTAATGAACTCTCATACCCAGGAACATTAAAAATTTAGTTTTCTACCTTCATTATCATAATCAAAGGGAAGCAAGCAGACAGTTTGGGAACAGATCACAATCCAGCACAAATAATGTCCCAAACAGAAAGGACATTAACAAGCAGAGGCTTGTTATCAGAGAAAACCTACTACATCTCGTGTTCCTTGCCACCTCCATCCGGGAGATCAACTTTTCTTGTGTTGGGATACACAGTTAAAGCATGACTTCATGTTGCATTACCTAAAAGAAAAGGAGACAATGAGTCAGAATAAGATTGTGGATATTGGGTTTTGAGCTAGATCAGTGTCTTACAGATTTGAAAATGTCATACAAAAGAGCAGGAAACATTAAAGATATGCTTTTAAATAGGTTTAACAGTTCTGTGCAAAGTTATTTATACTGTTGGCTGGGGGGGACAGTACTTCACATTGTAGATAATCACTGAAGAGTTTATCAGTTGATAGAAAGAAGTGAACAGTATATGGTAAGCTGGTATTATAAGATCATGTATTTGATAACTTCTTAACCAACATAAAAGAGTTTATAGTTTGTACTGTTTGTATGTCATGAAATAAATTTCAATGGGACATTAAGCTGCAGAATATATACATATAGTTTACTCAACACACTTCTAACATTTATTATTACAGTGTACTTAGTAGTCCCTCGCTTACTCAAATGTCTAAAGTGCTGAAACTTTTATACGTTTTCCTCCTATCTCCAAGTTCTTTGTAATTTAATGATTACTTTTTAATTTCTACATCACCTTTGAATAACCAAGTGAGGTAAAGACAGAGGGGATGGGCAAAGCCTGTACTGTGGTTCCTTCTGATTACTTTGGCTATTACTCATCTTGGATGTTAGATTATGATTATGACCAGGAAAAAATCCACAAGTATCTGAAAGAAGAAATATCTTAAGGAACTTAACCTCAAGCTTTATATGACCACGAGGCTGCTGGTAGACAAGAGCGTAGGCTTAAAATGTGTATAAGTGGTGTGTTCTCAAATGCCAGGCTAGGATGGGGATAGGCCATAATAATCAACAGAAAAGACACTTGGAGCCTAATGCTTTGCTTTCTGACTAGCAACCCAAAGCACAGCTACTCAGATACAACACAATTGGCCATTTATTAATAAGGGGGAATATCTGAAAGATCCCTTGTACTACTGATGGAAGAATCATTTATGTCTTTCTACTGGCAGAATCACTCATGTTCCTTGTAAACAATATATCTTAAATCCCCCAATAAAATTAAATTTTACATTACTTCTCCATAGATTTATGGATAAAATGTGTAGATAATATACATATTTGTTTATATACACTTATATACATATAAACGCATCTGTAAACATACACATATATTCATTTATACATAATATATATATAACAAAGTGTGTGTGTGTATGGAGGGCATATTTTTAATGTGTGAACATCATTTTAAATTAGCATTTCAAATGCAACATACAGATTGGTTATATAGTTAGAACACCAAAGATCACATTTAAATTTTTGGAAAACATAGTAAGCAAAAGATGAAACAATACACACACATAGGCTTGAATGTCATTTTAAGACCATAGCGCACCTATCTTTTCCCGCCATATATTGGTCTCTGGGACACTTCAGACTGCAACATGGGCCAGTCAAGTTTAATATGGAATATAATGTCCATTAAAATTATATTTCATACATCACTTGTTCATACAGCTTTAAATCCTATGCTGAAAATGCATCCTTGAATTTTTATATTATTCAAGAAAAATAACCACAATTTTTTGAAAAAAAAAAACAACTATTAAAATACATGTCTTTTCCAACTAAGAAGCTGCTTTGAACCAGATTTTCTTCAGCTAGATCTTTCTATCAAAATGACATTTTGACATCGTGACTGCAGGAGCAGCTATGAGAATCCAACTGATTTTTATGAAGCTAAATCTACCAAACAGAATTCTATTAAGCCACAGATATGACAATGCAAGTCATATTGCCCTTCTCAAAATTTTAATTTGGATTTTGGATTTAATTTTGGAAACAATCTTAAGTTTATATGTACAGTACTTATAATCATCAGCCCATGACATACTTCTAATTGCTATTTTAAAATTTTATAATATAGCCTAGATTTTCTTAGATACAATTCACATAAATATATATATATATATATATATATATATAGAGAGAGAGAGAGAGAGAGAGAGAGAGATCTGCCTCTCTCTATACATACATATATATATATATATATATATATACATATATATAATTGGGGAGGGGTACTGGGATTTGAACTCAGGGCCTCATGCTCATTTGGCTTACATACAACACGGTGATGTACATCTTCAGTTTTGCTTTTTCCTGGTAATTTTACACACTATGCCCTAAGGTCTTTTATGTTCATGCTGGCCTCAAAAAACAATCTTTTGGATCTCAGCCTCCTGAATAACTAGTATTATAAGCCTGAACCATGGACACCCATCTCTTCAATAACTTTTAAGTACATACATGGATTCTAAAACTAAAAAGATTTTAAACCCACTGCATTACTAATAGCTTCCTTCATACAATAAGTATAGAAGATATAAAATTCTAATAGAGCAATTAGGAATCCTAGAGAAATCCTGTCTTCACAGGAGAGGATAAGTTAAATGCTTTTCCTTAGTGAGTTTATAATTCACTTTTTAGTGATATACGGACACAACAAGGCCTTATGTTTACATTTGGTTCTCTTATAGAATACAGAGAGAAGAAAAATAACATATGGATATCAAGATATAAACCAATAGCACAAATTGACCCATGAATATTTAATTTGAACATTAATTTCCCTACTTGCAAGACTTGTAAAATAAATGAATAAATTCATAAATATTCCTGAAATTATGTTTTGTCTTTTGAAGATGATAGAAGGGGTATTATGCACAAAAAGCTATATATATAAGTGACAAATAGTTTTTAATCCCATTTCTTTATAATTACTGAGCATTTCTATGTTAATTAATATAAATGAGTGCTGATTTGCATAATGAACACTATTTAAAGCAGTAGTATGATTCTTGTTTACCTACTGGGAAATGTCAAAATTGTCAAAGATGATGATTAGAGAAAGGAGAATGACATATTTATCTCTTGTCCTTCTAGCTTTTATGAGAGAACTTTCATTCACTTAGATTCCTATATAATCTACACATGCAACATGGTAAGCTTATATGCTCAAAAGACATTTCTTTGTGAAAGTTTACTTGAGTAATCTAAAACAAATTAAAGTTTACATTTGTTTTCCCATTTGCTTAGTTGTACATGACTCCTGAAAATTCTCTTTATTGTTTAAATTGTATTCACTGCCATAGGATTTCCTTACAATCTTCCTAATCCATCAGGTAAAACAATGACCTTCTATGAAAAGATGATCCGTTCTCTACAGACTTGGCTGTGGAGAAGCAGAGTATGCCACACTTGAACCACCTTCTGCCTAGACAAGAAGTGTCCTCTATCTTGTAGGTGAACTCCACTGAAGACCAAGGGAATAAGAAATGAAATGTATCAGTATCTGCATCATGCCTCTGACAAGTGGTCACAGAATTCCTTCCTGATCTTATGTTTCTCCTAATTCTACAATACACAAAGAAGTGATTATCCACTTTCATACACTGATTTTTGATGACTATTTATTGGTACCTAGGGTGTGTCAAACAGATAGATCCTAGAGCAACTAAACCAGTCCTGCCCAATAATAGGCCCTGTTGCCATGGTCATTCAGCCAAGGTAAGGGATGTAAC